AAGGCGGGCCAGACATGTGACCGCCCTAAGTGAAGGCTGGTCAGAATATCCACGAACAGGCCTTTCTTTCAACATTTTTGTAAAGTGGGTATCAGACAGTTGCAACACGCCAGTTGGTTGGAGTGCATCGTGGATCCCAGACTCCTGCGAGAAGCAGTTGAGCCCAGGGCCTCAGTTGGTTGAGCCCTGGGCATAGGCCAGGGGAGGCCGACACATCACACATTGGATGTCGGCCAATGGGAAAGCAGCATGGCCGTCGTAGAGGCCGAGCAAACCGGAAAGGGTCTGCATCTGGACGACGGCCCTGGCACAAGGGGCGCAACTGTACTGCCCGGGCCACATCTGTGTTGGGCCTGGGCGCAGGTACTGGGACCAAAGCGCAGGCTCAAGGCAGGCCGCCCACACACAGCATGGCATATAGGCAGAGAGTGCGAGTGGGCAGGGATCTTGGCCAATGCAGGCATTGCGGGCACGCTGCGCTAATGCGAGGTGCTGCGCTGTGCAGAGCTGCGTTAGGCTGAGGGAGGCAGGCGAGCGCTGCCTGGGCGCAGGGCGCTGGCAGCCATAGTCGGGCTGCCTGAAGGGTGCAGTGGAGGTGAAGGGCAAAGGTGGTTCTTCGGAGGTGAAGGGCGATGTGTGGGATAACAAGGGAGAGTGAGGGTGAAGAGAGGACGTACCTGGTGGAGAGGAAGTCGGCATTGGTGTTGACGTCATCACTCGCTGGTCGTCAAGTTGTCTGGTTGCTTTCATGCTGTAGTCGTAGTGTTAGGCTGTAGTGTAGATAGGGCGCCTGGCGCCATTCAAGAGAGAGAGCTACATTGGGTTATGCTGTTGGTGTTGCCTGATTGGGCTTGGACATTGACTCACGATTCTGCTGTATCATTCTCAAATGGATGGTTACTTGGTTCCATTGTGCTATCTGCTCTTGCTTTGACTACATGGACTTCAGTGTAATTTTGCAATCTGGATTTCTGTGCTTCGTCCACATTCATGTTCCTTGCACCACCAAACGAAACAGTAAAAATAAAGAGGCAGCGATCAGTCAGTCACTCATTATCTGGGGAAGTATGTGGAAGCGCTGCTGGAGTGACTTGTGCGTTGAGTTCACCGGTGGTCAGCAAGAAGCCCGAAGGTGGAAGAGGGCGAGCGGCCATAGCCCCTAGGAGGAGGAAGACGGCGGTGGCCATAGCCGCCTATGTGTAGAAGTTAGAAGATAGTGTGTGAGCGTGAGTGCAGACATTCAGGGTAGATCCAAGTGTTGTGTGCGTACGTGCCTGGGAGTGTGTCTGACGGTGGATACAGTGTTCGGGTGGGAATTCCAGACTGGCGCTCAGACGCCATAGCCATGAGATGTGACAAGTTGTTTTGAGCTGAGTTCCTGAGCGAAGGCCATATCTCTGAGTATTTCTGTGGGCGCACTGCACCATCTCAAGTCTGTTGCTGATTCTGCATCTGTGGAAGTTTCTGTTGCCATCGCCATCATGTCTGCATGTTGAACGTTAGGTGAAGACAAGTCTAATTGCACATTGCTGAAAGTATCTGTAAATGACAAGAACTGGCAAAGGAGAGAATAGCAAAACAACACGCTCTCTCATAAAACACGACAAAGTGCATGATAGATATGTAAAGAGGGCAAGGACTGACTCAGAAGGGAGGCCGATACAAGAGTCAGTTTGTTGAAGGTGTGCACATGAATCCAGGAATCACTCCATGATACGCACAAGTTCCGAGACTCACTTGTATGGGTCAACCTCAAAGTGCTCGATCTTTACAAAAAGGATGTACAATCGTAGCAGCTTCATTCCATCCGTGCACTGAAAGATAAGGCAGTGATCCAACGCTCGTCTAAAATGACGTATCAAAAAGGACGCATGAATCCAGCTCCATATCTCAGACCAAATGTGCCAAGCGCCCTGATCATAGCTCCATACCGGTCACAAGAAAAGGACTGACCGAACAATAGTAGTTGTCCCAACACCAAAATGCTCGATGCCCATTATCAGCACAGCAAGTAGCTATGCCGAAAAGTATCTGCACCCACCGTGAATGCGAACGCCGTGGGCTGCCTGGGACAGGCCAGGTATGGGAGCCATAGCCCTGGACAAAAGCCCTACCCTAGTGCTGGCAGCTGCAGGTGATAGCAGAAGGCCGCTTGGTAGAGCACCACACTCCCCCCCAATCCCCTATTTTTTAGCCTTTGAGTCAAATAGAGACATTCTTTTTGCCGCATGGGACGCTGGAACCGTTTTCCAGCATGTGCTGCACTCCACGAATAGACTGGACCCATCTACAGCTGGTCTCCAAGTTTGAACCTTGGAGGTGTCTTTGCAATAACCCATGTCGTATGCCTTGTGGAAAAGTCTAAGGGCCTCGCCAGGCCGCACTCAGACCCAGGCAAAAAAGGGGAAAAGACCCCCTCGTAGAGATTCAGGGCCTGGACGAGTGACAGTTGACTAAAGTCAATTGTCGGACACCCAACAGTCAAAGTCAAAGTGTACCCAGCCCAGGCCGCCGGTCAGACACACACTTGTTTGTATGCAGGTACCCAGACAGCATCAGGACCAAGGGGAAGTCTGCAACTGTACACAATCCAGGCCCTCGGCTGTCAGTCAATATCATGGCTACAATCCGGACCACCGGACAGGGATCCGGACCGTCCGTGGTCCAGGGTCCAAGGTCCAGGTCCGGATCTTGGTCCGGATGTGAGGGCCCCAGCCCAATGGCCAAAAAAATTTTGGGTGCTCCAGGGCGTTTGTTCACGCCCTGGGCCGCCCCAAAAAAATAGTGCCTTATTTTTTACCACTCTCGCCGACGATCCAGACAGCCCGTAAAGTCCACGAGGGGGTTTGTTTTCTCCATACTTTTTCGAAGGGTCA